ATGAGTCATTTGCAGTTGTTGTAGTTGTAGTTGTGTGTCTACTATATGCAATTAAATTAAATATTAAACTTAATTACACGAACGAACTAACGCGTCATGCAGCACGCAGCAGTTGAGTCCTGGGATCGTTGAGTCATTGAGTCGTCGACTCGCCGACTTGTCGTCTCTCCGGGCCTGTCCAATATGACAACGCTCAATAATGCAACATGATTGTAAGAAGTAATGAAAGTCAATTGTTGCGAAGACGAGGCCTGGCCAAGAACGACACTGTCTCTGGCTCTTTTGCCAGTTATAGTAGGTGAGGTCGCCCATACAAAGCTTTTTACCCCGACTCGGCTCGGCTCTAACCGTAATGACAATGTTGCTCACATTTTGTGCCGCTGCCTCCTGCTGCTTGTTAATTGAATTTAATGTAGTTTAATTGAGACGAACGTGATTCTAACTAAAAGCGCTTTATGTTTAATTTAGCAGCAACCAGGCAGACAGGCAGCCAGCCAGGCAGGAATTCAATAGATGGCCGATATTTCTTGCCATGCCAACTACTTAGTTGACATGATGGGCACTGATGCTTTTGAGTTGTTAAAATTCAAATTAATTGCTGCCAAGTCAGAAGCAATTTCCATTTTCAATGTGTGGCAAAAACATTTAAATATTTAATATATTTATGGCAGCTGTCAGCAATTTCTTACCAGTTTATCTACAAAAATGAATTATGCATGCCAATGAAGAAGTTTGCGCCAAAAATATGGCAACTGTGTCACACGCTGCGTATGAGTAATGGTGTCGGACTCGTTGCACTGGTCATTGCAATGTTTTCAAGGACATTTCCAATATTAAAAGCTGTTCGAGCGCAGCGCAGCGCGAAATTCAAACGCAGCTGCCGCCTCGCATTCGAAAGCAGTAAACGGAGCAATAGGAGCTGCAAACAGCAAACGGAATCTCCAACAAGGACAGCTGTTGGAATTAGCGTACAGTTTGCTTTTTCATGCCAGCCATCATACGAAGCAACTGTCACAGCATCAGGCGCACTGTCATCTCGCACAGAATGTCAAAAAACAAAAAAAGGAAAAAAATCAAGCTGCATAATAAATTGAATTTCTTCTTGCTGGTCATTTGGAGCATCTAAGGCCGCGGGATAGACACACACTTGCAAACAATTTTATAACCAGTTAGTCGAAAGTTGTCAACTTAAAAATACCCTGTACACCGTCTGGAAGTGTTCTAAAACAGGAGTTAAGCACCTGAGATCTACTCCCATCATTTCCTCAGAAAAATTTAGATTTCTTTTAATAATAATTCTTTTGCTCAATCGAACTGATAGGCAAACAAATATATGTTCAAAATATTCGTGATTTTGTGCTAATAAAACATAATTTGGATTTCAGTACAGTTAGGCGCCTATAAATATATCGCAATAAACCCCGGGATCAAATCGTTTCCAAGCCAGATTGATTATCGGAATATGCACTTTATATGGCGGATTTATAATTAAGATGGTCCACAAAAAACCCCTCTTGGCCAGCCTTTATAGATCTCTTCGTGTCCCTCTCTTTCTTTCTCTCTCTCTCTCTTTCTCTTTCGCTTACCCTCTCCCTGTTTCTTTCGGTCTCTCTATCATGAAACCGTCGACGCCATCCTGGCCGCACACGTACGTTGTCCAACATAAAGTTAGCGACAAAATGCCACCAGACGCAAATGAAATTACCCCAAGCCCAGACGCAGTAGCAGAAGCAGCAGATGCTATTGGAGCGACAAACTTGGACAGGAGCTCAAAAATCCAAATATCATATTTACAACATGCAACTGCTCGTACAAAGCGAATACAGCTTCCAGCATGCCAGGAATGCAATGGAAAAAAAAGAAGGCAAAATGAAAACTGACAACTGCATTTTTATACCCTGAACCCATTTTAAAATGGGTATATTGTTTTTCTGCAAATGTAAGTAATTCTTGATCAGCACGACGAGCTGAGTCGAACTAGCCATGTTCGCCTGCGTAAACAATACAAAATATATCAGAGCTAAAATGAGCAATAAACTTCGAGTGTAGATTTTCGTATAGCATTTACGGATTTAAAATATTTTACTTCTAGGATACTTTACCAATTTTCACGAAATTGGAAACTTATTTCAAAGGTAGAGCCATACACATGAAAAGATCGGACTATAGAGACCGATGTTAATCAAGAATACATTTTCCATACATAGTATGGCTTAAGGGAAGTAAAGGGAAGTGTATGTATATTTAGAGGGAAGCTAGAAAGTTTGTAACCAGCAACTTGCCCTAAGTTCAGAGTATCTAAAGTACTCTTGTTTTATTTTTCTACGCTTTTTACGTCGTTTATGCAGAAACAGACTGGAAGAGATAGTTTATTGTATTAGTCTGGTTGCAATGCAAGGTAATCAAATCGAGGCTCAAGCCTGCCAGGGAATCCTGAGCAAAAACCCGATGATAATTAAGAACGTTTTTAACAGTAAGCAACAGAATGTGAAGTTTTGCTTAGCGTTACTTTAAGATTAATATCACATATAAAAAAAAGAAGTATATTTGTCTTTTTAGAACTTTTCGTAATATCTGGCGCCTTGCCAATATACAGTTCTTTATCCTGAAATGATCTATTGAGCTCCTCTAATTGCTTATAATTCTGTATTTAAATTTTTATTTGGTCTGAAAGCTTTTTAGCCCAGCTGCACATGTACACAAATGTGTGTTGCTTAACTGATTGGCATACACACTACAACTTTGTACGCCTCAGGCCAGTAACTAAATTTGATATATAATGCCAAAACTTTTAATAACTCATTAAGCGCCACTTAATCGCTTTGTGACGTCACACAGAATATGCCCAAAGCGGATGGAGCTAAGTAACTGATAAAAACTAAACTATATTTAATATATCTCTAGTTCTCTGTGACTTCCTTTCTCTTTCAAGCCAAACATGTTGGCAATTTATCACAGTGAAATTTAAATTGGCAACACGCCACTTGACAACAGCCCCAAACAGCGTCCCCTTCCCCTTGAGGCAACTTGTACAATTTGTTTGGCCAACGAGGAAGCAAACTTAATGAAGGGCATCCTCTTTATTATTGCCATAATAAAGCCACACAACGGCCATGCTCAATAAATATTTAATTATAAAATGAATAGAAAAATTCTAATTACTTTTTGTCATTTGCTTAATAAGTGGCGCCGGCACAGTGCTAGCCAAAATTCTGCATACCAACGCCAAAAAAAAAAAGGTTGCTCGTGAAAGCTAACGGCGAATATTTTAAGCTTTTATAACTACATTTACTATGCCATAATGTGCTTTAATGCTGCAAATTGAAATTTTAGCGCAACATACACACATTTCGGCGGAGCCTGCTCCCGGAACGTGGCGTATCCTAAACTATTTGCGGCCATGCTATGCGGTCAGCCTATGGCCGGGCCACGTTACGCCTGTCGCCAGCTGGGCGCCACATAAGTTTGCGGTCGCTCCTTTTATTTCAGTTTGCATAAGTTCCAAAGTACACATCATATATAATTAATATCACAAAACGGTCAATTTCGCCTCAACGACAGCCATGCGAATACTCTGCCTAAGTAATGGACGCGGCAATTTGCTTTCGTGCATGTTGCTTACAATACATATTTGAATTTAAATTGCATGTTTTCCCACGTTATGTGTGTTCAGTTGCCTTAATTTAAAGAATTTGTTTCACAACACTTAAGGCATTTGATGCGCTTATTGGATCTCTTTTAGAGCTTTTTAGCTAATTTTCGTTACTCAACACTTGTGCTGGAAATTATATTTAAAAATACCACATATGTACACACATACTTATATCACGCTTTTTAGGTAATTTACGTTATTCAACACTTGTGCTGGAAGGCACAACATGGATCTTATATTTTAGAACACCACATATGCGCACACACACTTATGTCTGTATATTATTATTATTATTAATAGAAAATTTTTGTTTTAGTTTTGAGCATCGAGCATCAAATTTCTGTCCTTTTCTTTTAGCATCATAATATTTTCACGCTGCCTGTTTTAGGTACACTTCATGTATTTCCCGATATACCTTGGTCTAAAGAAATACATACGTCTTACTTTTTCCTCTGAGTTCCTACTCATATTTATGCAGAGATTTTTTGTAAATCTTTATTATAAAAAAAAGCTCATGGCAATTTTGTATATCAGGGCTAGTAGGGTCCACACATTAGCCATAATTAAGTTTTATGGGCCTTGGATTTGGATATTTTGGCACAGTTAATGGACCTGAATGGTTGAGAGCACCCCGGCAGGCCATAAAGCATTGGCTTTGGCTTACATGCTCCAATAAAATTCACATAGTGACTGATGCAAATTTATGCCAATCCCTGGTGAGGTCTAATTTTTAGACGCGCGTTTACAATGTTTTTGCCAGATTTGCATGCCGCAACAACAATTTGGTTTATAAGGACATGCCCTAAAAAAAAAAAAAAAAATTATTGTGGCAAATGGAGCTGTGGGCATGTGGGTAAAAAAAAAAAAACATACACAATTCATTTTCCAAATGAATTTGTTCCGCTGTAAGGGCCATAAATGCATTAAATTTATTGGAATACGCGACAGCAGCATCAGCAGCAGTATAAGAAGCAGAAGAGCAACAAAAAAAGCTCGCTCATCCATTGAATGACAATAAATTATCAATTTTATTTTGACAACGCGAAAAATCCTGCTCCAAAAGAGAGGAACGAGCGCAAAATGTCAGACGAAATTGAGCAAAATATATTCAGGCGGGGCATTTGTGACAGGAAGTTTCAGTTGAATGGTTTGTTCCAGCGGCCGGTTCTGAATTGCCTGCATATATCCTGCATATATATGTATGTATGTATATATATCGTATATATTCTTTGACAAGCAGCGGGCTAAAATGCACTCTGTGAGTGCCGTTGGACGTGACAATATTAATTTATATGTTTAATCGCAATAGCCCGAAACTAAAACGTATATGGCTTGACTTTTATTGCAGACATTTCATCTTCGTCAGTCTATGCACGCACTGCCCCTGATGACGTCGCCTTCTATTGCCCGGAGGAAGGTCTATTTCCCGATGACTACGACTGTCGCATCTACTATCGCTGTGAGAAGCGTTCCGAGCATTACATCAAACCGTACATGTTCGCCTGTAAGGAAGGCACGGTCTTCTCGCGCACCCTGCAGCTGTGTATGCCACCAATGCTGGCCGGTCGTGGGGAGTGCTCACAGTATATGAATGAAATCGATAGTAGCGGCGAGACCGACAGCCAGCTGGCATTTGATGGGCTCGTCAATAACCAGAATGGACATAATGCGATGCTTAACAGCGCCGTCACACCCGCCGCCATCAAGCTGCACACCTATGCCACTGCAAATCAGTTGCCCACAAATTATGGACTGACAGGACTGAGTGGTGTTTCAGTCATATCCTTTTCGAGCTCATCATCTTTGCGCTCGGCCGGGGATGAGGGTGTGGCGTGCGAGGATGATGGATTTATGAGTGATCCCAGTGACTGCACCGTGTTCTATCGCTGCATCTCCAATGGGCGGGGCTATAATAAAATCGGTTTTCGTTGCTCGGACGGCACCGCCTGGGATGAATCACTGCAGTCGTGCAACCACATGTTTGATGTACGTGCTAATGGCGGTTGCCGCAATCAGGCTGCCCCGCTAAGCGATGACCAAACATCGACACAGTCATCCCAAACGAGCTATCAGAATACCACCTCATCTTCGTCGTCGTCAAACAGTCAGCAAAGCTCTTCGACAAGCTTCTCAACTTCCACGTCGTCTAGTAACTCCTCTTCCTCCAGCTCCTCAAATCAACAAGAATCAAGTTCAAATCAAGAGTCTTCCACATCAAGCAGCAATCAACAAGCTACATCAAGCTCCAGCAACATACAATCCTCAAGCAGCACAGAGAGTTCTACCAGTAGCAGCCAGCAAGCCAGCTCGGGCTCTTCAAACCAAAGCTCTGGAAATAATCAGTCGTCGGGCAATAATCAAAACACAGGAAGCAACTCAAGCAGTAACCAGAATCAAAACTCTAGCAATCAAAGCTCAAACAATAACCAGAATCAAAACTCTAGCAGTAACCAATCTTCCAGCGGTAATCAGAGCAACCAAGGCTCATCAAACAATCAATCTTCCAGTGGATCTAACAGTCAATCAAACCAAAATGCTATAAAACCTACTGCGAACGAATGCGAAGATGAGAACACATATATACTCGATAAAATGGATTGCGCCAAGTTTTACAGATGTCGCTTAGATGGCAATGGAAATTTTGAGAAGGTACCATTTACATGTGGTCCTGGTACTGTATGGAGTCAAGAGGAAAAAGTTTGCGTTCTGCCCAGCGAAGATCAAAAGAAACAATGCAACATACAATCTGGATCATCCAGTAGTGGAAATAATCAAATTAGCAACAGCACCTCCAGTGGCAGCAACCAGAATGCCTCAACAAGTGGCAATCAATCGAGTACCTCTAGCTCCGGTTCGAACAATAATAATAATAGCAATCAATCTGGCAATCAGCAAGAAACATCCGCATCAAACAGCAATCAATCTTCCAGCAGTCAACAAAGCTCGTCAGGCAACAATCAGGGCTCCTCCTCATCGTCAAACTCTGGCAATCAGTCTTCCAATCAAGGCAACAGTCAAGGGTCATCTTCTGCTTCGAGTTCCAATAACCAGTCGTCTAGTTCTACATCCAACACCTCTGGAGCTCAAAATTCTACAAGTTCATCAAACTCGGGAACCACTACAACTTCTAAGCCCCAAAATGCTGACGGTGAATGTGAGCACACGGAAACTTATTTGCCCGACAAAAAGGACTGTGCTCGCTTCTACCGTTGCGTTGATAATGGCAATGGTGGTTTCGATAAAATTGCTTTTGATTGTGCACCTGGTACTGTTTGGGACCCCGACACAAAGGGCTGCAACCATCCAACGGATGTCCAAAAAGAGCAATGCAAGGCTATGGCCAGTGGTACAGGCAGTGCTTCAAACCAAGGTTCATCTTCCAATCAAGGCTCTTCTTCTAATCAAGGATCGTCCTCTAATCAAGGATCATCCTCTAATCAAGGGTCTTCCTCCAACCAAGGTTCATCGTCTACTCAAGGATCGTCTTCTAATCAGGGATCGTCATCCAATCAAGGGTCTTCCTCCAACCAAGGTTCGTCATCCAATCAAAGCTCGTCGTCGAATCAAGGATCATCTTCTAATCAAGGATCATCATCCAATCAAGGATCGTCATCCAATCAAGGATCGTCAGCCAATCAAGGATCTTCCTCCAATCAGGGTTCATCGTCTAATCAGGGATCGTCCTCCAACCAAAGTTCGTCGTCGAATCAAGGATCCTCGTCCAATCAAGGATCTTCGTCCAATCAAGGATCGTCTTCAAATCAAGGATCGTCTTCAAATCAAGGATCATCGTCTAACCAAGGTTCATCCTCTAATCAAGGGTCGTCATCCAATCAAGGATCGTCCTCCAACCAAGGATCTTCATCAAATCAAGGTTCGTCGTCGAATGAGGGAACATCCTCTAATCAGGGATCTTCGTCTAATCAGGGATCCTCTTCTAATCAAGGATCCTCCGCCAATCAAGGATCGTCATCCAATCAAGGCTCGACCTCCAATCAAGGATCGTCATCCAATCAAGGCTCGACTTCTAATCAAGGATCGTCAGCAAACCAAGGTTCGTCCTCTAATCAGGGTTCTTCATCAAATCAAGGGTCATCTTCTAATCAAGGATCATCCTCTAATCAAGGATCCTCCTCTAGTTCAGGAACGTCCTCCAATCAAGGCTCATCTTCCAACCAAGGTTCTTCGTCGAATCAAGGGTCCTCATCTAATGAAGGTTCCTCGTCTAATCAAGGATCCTCGTCTAATCAAGGATCATCGTCTAATCAAGGTTCTTCGTCTAATCAAGGTTCTTCGTCTAATCAAGGATCTTCGTCCAATCAAGAAACGTCTTCAAATCAAGGATCATCATCTAACCAAGGTTCATCCTCTAATCAAGGATCGTCATCCAATCAAGGAACGTCATCCAGTCAAGAATCAACTACTACAACTCAGAAACCATTTAAGCCGGCAGAGAAGTGCGAGAGCGAAGAGACCTTCTTAGCTGACAATGAAAACTGTTCGAAATTCTATCGCTGCGTTGATAATGGAAAGGGTGGCTTTACGAAAGTATCGTTTACTTGCCCACCAAACACGATTTGGCATCCCGAGGCCAACAGCTGTAACCATCAATCACAAGTTGATATGCAAAGCCTTAAGTGTAAGCGGGTCAGCCCTGCCCAACAAACAAGCGGCAGCAGCAGTAATAATAGCAATACCCAACAATCGTCCACTTCATCCTCCACGTCATCATCATCAGGCAGCGGCGCAACACAGCAAACCACATCTTCAAACTCCCAATCTGGCAGCAGTACAAGCTCAACAACATCAGGCTCAAGTACCTCAAGTTCCACCTCATCTCCAATGCCGTCTGGTAGCTGTAAGGTTAATGGACAATTCTTAGGAGATGATAAGAACTGTGCCAAGTTCTATCGCTGCGTGGACAATGATAGAGGTGGTTTTAATACGGTGGCCTTCTTCTGCCCCCCTGGAACTGTATGGGACGGTCAGATTGAGGCCTGTAATCATGCCTGGGCCGTTAAAGACAAAAGCTGTAGCAACAGCGAAACCACTCAACGGCCAGAGGCTACAGACTCGACGCCAAGCTACGGCGGTCAATCCTCGACCACAACAAAGCCAGCGGTAAAACCAACTACTTTAAAACCAACGACTCAAAGCACAACAACGAAGAAACCCACTGCCCAGAAACCAACTACTCAGAAGCCTGTTACGCAAAAGCCAACTAGCTCATCTGGGGATGTTAAGTGTAAATCTGAGGGTTTCATTGGTGATCCAAGCAACTGTGCCAAATTCTATCGCTGCATAAGCAGTGGTAATGGCGGCTTTAACCAGGTGCCATTCCACTGCGCTGCGGGTACAGTTTGGGATCAGGACCTACAAACGTGCAATCACGATTTGAATGCGTGCAATCCAGTCCCCGAAGGTGGCGGTGGTAATGCTACCACTGAGTCTGATAAGGGTCCTTGTGACAATACCACGGTAAAGCCTACATCGAAACCGACCCCAGAGACCACCTTATCACCCAGCACATTGGAACCCACAAATCGTCCAACTGAGCCGGCTACGGAATCAACAACCGAACAGATAACAACCAACCAGCCCCCCACAACATACAAACCTTCAACAACAATATGGACTACGACGACTAAGCCGACCACAACTGAAAATCAGCCCACTACTACAACATGGACCACTTCCACCGAAGCTGAATCAACTGAAACAAGCACTCAAACTACAACCATGATTCCGGAAACTACTACCAAGGTACCCAACCTGCCACCCGGTACCAAATGTAAGGGCGAAGGATTTATGGCTGATCCCAACAATTGCCGCAAATTCTATCGCTGCCAAAAGACCGGCGACTCATACTCGAAACATGAATTCATGTGCGCCAAGAATACAGGTTGGAATGAAGACTTACAAACATGTGATCATGCTCAAAATGTGCCAGGTTGCGCGGGTCAAACGGAAGCTCCAACAGAGCCGACAACTACAACCGAAATTACTTCTACTGAGGCCATTACAAAACCAAGCACCATTGAACCACCAACAAAACCTACAACTGAAACAATTACGAAACCAACCACTTTTGAACCACCAACAAAACCTACAACTGAAACAGTTACGAAACCAACCACTATTGAACCACCAACAAAACCTACAACTGAAATAGTTACGAAACCAACCACTATTGAACCACCAACAAAACCTACAACTGAAATAGTTACGAAACCAACAGATCCTCCAACGAAGCCGACGACAGATTATCCAACCACTACAGATATTTGGAAACCAACAGACTCCACAATAAAGCCAACTGAAGCGCCAACAAAGCCTACTGATTATACGGATAAGCCAACGGAAATTCCCACTAAACCCACTGACTATCCAGTCACTAAGCCAACCACCACAGAAACGTATCCAGAGACTTCAACTGGTTTTACAACATCATTCCCAGGCTATCCTCCTACTACAACTGAAGACAATCCGAGCACTACGCAAGAGCCAACAGTCAACTTCAAGTGCCCTGCTGAAGGTTTCCATGCTGATCCTGAGGATTGCAGCATTTACTATCGCTGTACAAAGACCAATGATAAATATCAAGTATACAAGTTCCGTTGTCCAAAGGGCACAGTGTGGGACACATCGCTCGATACTTGTAACTACGCAGATCAGGTATCTGGTAACTGCTCCTCTGGCAGCATGACTTCAACAACAAACCCAAGTGACGCAACCACATCATGGACGGAGATGCCAACAAGCACTGTGAAACCGGTGACAACAGTCAAGCCTGAGACAACAACTAACACGGCCAGCACCACAGGTGGCCCAGTTGGCCCTACAACCACTAATAAGCCAGTAGAGACAACTACGGAGCAGGAAGCCAATCCCAATCCAGAGCCATCAAGCAACTCAAGTGCTCCATGTCCCTCGACTACAGAAGATCAAAGCTTGTTTGTCTGCCCATCGGGCTTCCGTCGGCATTCCAAGCAATGCGGCGTATTTTACCAATGCAATGAGAATTCAGATTCAAATCTAAATATTGTGCTGTTCCAATGTCCCAATGGTACTGTTTATCACGAAGCATCATGTCGTTGCGCCAAGCCAGGGCCCAACGACACCTGCAGCAATAAGGGATCATCACGTACGCAGCTTTATGAGGAGGAATCGCAGCCGCTTAACCTGGCAAGTATACCTTTATCTATCGAATTGAGAAGATTTAATTACATAAAAACTCTTTGCTTAGGTGCAAATCCATTCCACAGCTCCGCTTTGCCCGGAGGAGGGGCACTTTGCCCTGAATCAGGATGAATGCAGCCAGGTGTTTGTCAAATGCGGCTACTCCCAGCAAACTGGACGTATCGAGGGCCAAATAAACCGCTGCCCGCAAGGCTTTGCCTACTGGAATGTGAGCCGCCGCTGCGAGCCGGCCAGAAAGCTAACCAGCTGCACCCCAGCCACATACAATGTGGGCGATAGTGTGCCGCTGGAGTGGGTCAACATTGGCCACAGACGTCGCAATCTTCCCATCTAAAACACATTACACATAGCATTAATTTATAAATTGTAAAAGGCAACGCATTTGTTTGCTGCGCAGGCTCACGACTCCGAGGCAGCTTGCGCAGCAAATGACGAGCCAAAAGACTAGCTTAGGTTGTAGTGCAATTACAATAAGTTTAACATGGGTTTATAACAATTTCTGGTGACGGTACTATCCGTGATTTTTCATACTCCTATTGAAAGAAAACAACATTTTTTGTTTAATTTCCTGTAACAGTTGCATTGGCACAGCCTTTCACACGCACAACATGTTGTTGCTTTTCACGTAGTAATTGTATTTATATTAAAACTAACGTTCTGAACGCCATATTTAGCTTAGTCTATGCTTAAAGTTTACAATAAATTAAAACATATACAAAAAAGTTTACATGAGCTGAAGCTTAAGGTGACTACGGTGTTTAGTGGTTTCTTTTTTTCTAACTACGGGCCAGTCATTTCTTCTTCTTTGCTACTGGTGGGGCCGCTGGATTGTCGCCTTTGTAGAACTCCTTTAGCAACGCCATGGCCTCTTCTGACCGCACGCCGCCAGTTATGTTGATCCGCTGACCTACCACGGCAGCCACATCTATGACCGTCTTGCCGCCGAAACGATCATTCTCGCAGCCATATATAATCTCCTTGACGGCCAGCGTGTGCAAGGCAGCAGAGCACATTATGCAAGGCTCCACAGTGACCACAACGCTGATTTCGCTGAACACCTGGCGTGCCGGCAGGCGCTTCTCACGGCAGTAGGCCAAGGTGGCATCGATGCATATGAACTCCGCATGACGTGTTGCATTCCGGTGTACATTCACTTCGTTCCCGCCACGTGCGATTACCTTGTCGTTGTGCACAAACACACAACCAACGGGCACCTCGCCGGCGTCACGTGCTCGCCGCGCTTCCACTAAAGCATCCTCCATAAACGCGGCCATTTGGCATGGAAATATCTCAAATTAATTTTGGGCAAACAAAAACAGAGCAGACTTCGACGCCACGACACAGCAAGCAAAAAATAACAAGCAAATATCAGCTGTTCACCGTCACAATGGTTGGCAACGCGGCCGCCAGCAATAGGGTAACACTGGCCAATAGCTTTATTGGAATACAAAATATCTTTATTCAATTATCTTATTTATAGATGTATTTTGCTGTTTGTTTAACTTAATTAACAAGAAATACCTTACGCCTCATTGCGCATAAACTTGATTAGATCTTGCTCCTCCAAAAAAGTCTGAGCTTTTTCTGACCAGTTAGTATTGTGGAGCGACCGCGGACTTGGATGTGGTAAGCGGGTCACAGAAACTGATTTACAATAAGACGATCTGTTCAGCACCTTGTGAACATACTCTCCTACTGCCACCACAAATTGCGGCTGCAACAGTTGCAGCTGCTTCTCTAATGCATCCAAGCACATATCTCGAATCTGCTGCTTTAATTGGCCTTTCAGCTCGCTTGGTGTTATGTTGTGACCCTCTTCATCGAAGAATGCTAGGGGGCAAAAGTTGTGGACAAAGCACTGTTGCGACAAGGTATCTAGACTGCCGGCAGCCAAACGCACAAACAGCTCCCACAACCGCACACCGCTCGGCTCCTCAATCTTGCAATTCAATCCACTAACAGGTCGTTTACGATGCAGCACAGACGGCTGTAGCACCTCGCCAGAGAGATGCATAATGTCGCGCACGGTGCGAACGTTTCCAAAAGGTACCTAGATATATACAAGCACAGTTAATGTGACCTAGCTAGAGGAACTGTTGGGCGCACTTACGCCTGTCTGGCCCATGCCGTTTGGCCCAGGATTCATGCCTATAAATATGACTCGCTTGGGTCCACATAAATAACGACTTAAATAAGCACAATGCAACGACGACGCATACTCGACTGGATTGTAAGTACATGTAATGCCCGTGGGCAGTCCAAGCGTAGCCAGTTGCTCATTCAAATGGCATTCAATTTTATAAAACTTTATCCAAAACGGTTGGACAAACAATCCCGAAGTTATTGCATCAGGCTGAATTGTTTTTGACTTCTTCAGATCAAGTGCTGCCGCTTTCTTCTTCTCCAGCTTTCGTTTCAACATTGTAATTAAAAATTTTCAAGTTTCTTAGTGCACCCCGCGATTTGATTTTACAAATTATAAACAATTTAGCTAATTTTAACACCTGACTATTTGCCGCGTTGCCAACTGATTCAATTTTACAACAGTGCTGCAAAGAAATGCGCCAATGCTGCGAATTATCTTTTAATCAAACAAGCGAATTGTATTTTGTATTATATGTATTAATATTAAATGCGCATAATGGTTATTTTAAGATAGCGTATGTGTGAACTCGTCCAGCTTGCTTTCATTGTCCTTCACGAATTTCGATTTAAATTGCTTAATATTCTTCTCTATGTTGCTGTTAACAACAGTACAAAATATTTTCAGAAATTGCTCCACCTAAAAGCAAATCGGTGAACTGATAAGTATATGTTATCTTTGTTGTCCGTGGCGTCTGCGCACTTACAGTTAAATCCTTTTCTGGACAGCCCAATTTAACGAATTCACATTGCGGAGCGTGCTTCAGATGTTCCTTCCAAGGATCGTCCTCCGACTCCCAACCGTCTAGTGTTTTACCGCACACAAAACAGGTAGCCGTATCGTTTTCACGTTTGGTGCCAGTCCAAAAGAACCCCGCCTCAGCCATCTGCAAGATAATTAGTATATTAACAAAATAGTTTGCTACCAGATTCACAACTTGCTTGCCTTGCCAATGCTGCATGTGGACTTAGCTGAAAAGGGCCAGTCCTTAAAACTCTCTACTCGATGCTTTTCCAGCAAATTGAGCTCGCGAAATGTGTCGAGCTTTGTTTCATCCATTAAAGATGTTGGATCCATTACTTAGATTGGTTATTAAATTAAAACTATTTTAAAATTCTTCTACACACACACAAAAACAAACAGGGCCCAAGCGCAGCGCGTCGCTATTGCCGATTGGCAACCCTAAAATATTCTGTTAAGCATAACAGAGAAAATAACATAGGTGTCTGCTATTAACAGAAACAAATAATTCATAAAATATATTAAAAGTTTGATTATGTTAGGCAAATAATCAATTAGTATAATGATTAATGAAATTTATAAAAAGTTCGATTATGTCAGGCAAATAATCAATTTGAATATTGAATATTATTTAAGAAGAAATCTGGATAGAAGCTAATCTAAAAAATTTATTGAGAGTTAAATTTGAATTTAACTGACTCCGGTCTAGAACAGGCTTTAAAATTATCGATTATTACAAATATTCGAAAGAAAATAAAACAACACTTTAACTTACAGAACGAACTGAACTGTAAAAATTTCATATTGACGGTCGGTTCTTCGCAAAGAAATTCAACATGTTGATATCTTACTCCTAGCAAACATGATTTTGGATGCAGAAAACTTATATTCTAGGTTTAAAATATTCGCGGAGACCCTGCCAATATTTTTAATAAACAGAAGCATAGTGAATTTTAAAATTTGTTGGTTGCAAATTTTCCAGCACCGTCAGAGATTTTGTCAACACTGGCAGCCTGGGACAGCTGTTCACTCTGTTTTGTCATTTGTTGTTGTATATTTTTTGCTACACATAAACATTAAATAAATGAAAATATAAAAATAGTCAAAGAAAACGTTACCTGTTTATTGTTTGTTATTGAGTTTTACCCAGATTCTAAACATATTATGCACTGCAGTGGTCCAAAAACTCGCTTATATTTTACATTCTCACACCAAAATTGATTAAGAAGAAAAAAGAAAGTGCTTGGGCCACAGAGCGAAAACTGTAAGGCCTTGGAACGATTCGCAACCTAAATAAAATTGCACTCACAGGACGCGAGCGCTATTTGGCACTTGGCAATGAAATTGTGCACTGGCAATGAACTCCAGACTTGAAGGCACTCATCAGCTCCAGGGGCACTCCAGCCCCATGGCCACCGAACGCAAGCAGTGTAGTCCCAAAATGGAAATTACTAAACTAAACCATGAGCTCATCGAGGAATGTAAACGCAGCCACGAGGACTCTATCTTGCCGCGCCATTTACGCCATGAGCTCGAAAAGTATGTATGTAGTTAATAGAAAATGTTTACATATACGCTACCAAAAATTGACTCGTACGTTTTTCTCGTCCGGTGATAAGCGCTAAGCGACCAATTACCGTATAATCAATATTTTTGTTGCTATTGTTCTTTTTTTTTGTGTGCCGTAGAGACAGCCTTATCAGCAGTTTGAGTACCCAACAAAATTTCATCCTAATCGCACTTCCTACTCTTTGCAGGCATTCACGTGAGTCCCGACGCGAGGTGGTTAGAAAGCAACGCAATGGCTGTGCGCCACTTTTTATTGCCTGCAAACGTGGCGCAGTAGTAATTGCCGAGTATCTCATAACCATGTGCGAAGCGGACATTGAGCAGCGTGGACACTTTGAGGTGCCCGAGGACAACAGCTTTCACCATGTCTCGCCGCTGTGGGCAGCTGTCGTATCCGGCAAGCTGTCCATGGTTAAGTATCTGGTGCGGATCGGCTGTGACATAAATGCCACATCAGATTCGGGATCAACGCCAGTGCGTAGTGCCTGTTACATGACTAACACAGATATTGGTATGTGGAATCAGTTCATATTTCTATTGTTTGCTCACTGTGCATGTTTAACAGTCAAGTTTCTCGTGGAGAACGGCGCAGACATCAAGAAGCCAAATATCAATGGCGGCACATGCTTAATTAACTCGGTGCAGTCCGTGCAGCTTTGCCTGTATCTGGTGCGCAAGGGAGCCGACATCAATGCACGCGACATACAGGACAAAACGGCGCTACACTATGCCATACAGGAGCATCGACTGGACACCACCAGAATGCTTATAGAGCAGGGTGCTGATCCCTTTGCTAAGAGTCGCTATGGTGACGATGCGCTGCGAACTGCCTGCCTTAAGGGCGCTCATCAAATATTTGATTATTTGAAAAAGGAATTAAATTATTCAGTGGAACGCATCGCTGAGGCGCATGAACTAATGGGCTCAACATTTCTGGACGAGCACAATGAGTCTCGCGTATGCATCCTCCATTGGCGCATGGCACATCACATACGCGCCGCCTACACGCCTTACATTGAAAAGAAGCCAAAGGTACCTTTACGGAATGCGTATGAAAATGCAGTCGAATTTGCGACTTTAGAGGAGCTTGATAACATTGCCACGGATATGGATGCTATGCGCACGCAAAGTCTGTTAATTTGTGAACGTGTATTGGGTTTGACACACAAGGACATGCTGTTCCGTTTGACTTTTAGAGGTGCCTCATACGCCGACTCTTTGCAGCTCCAGCGCTGCATTGATCTCTGGCGCTTTTTGCTCGAGGTGCGTGTCTCCAATTGGTCCATATTGCATTTCGAGACCTGTTTTGCTGCCCAGGCGTTAGTGCGCCTCATGTTAGATCTGCACGTGCGAAACTCGAGTCACTTGCGAAGTGATGCACGCGCTCGCTTCATGCACCAGGATAACTTGCTGCCCAGATTTGATGATGTCTTGGGCGTGTTTCGTACGCTCTCCGTAAGCGCCGTCGAGGTCAAGGAGCTGTTGCAAGTGCGTCCCGTCTTCCGGCGCCAGCAGGAGAACTATGACCGTGTATTGCGCTGCCTCGCCCATCTCATCTATCTGCTGATCAATACCGTCCACACAGAGGCTCAGCACAAGGTAATATTTCAAGCCGTCCACGAGACGGTCGTTCTTGGTAACTTGCGTAGCGCCAGCACAGCCGACACGCTTCTTCATTTGGGGGCCTCACGGCTAAATGTTATCAAAAGTGGTTACATCACCGAAGACAATTTTTCTGATGTGAGTTTATTGCACTTAACAGATGTAAAGCTATTATTAACTATATTATATTGATGCTTGTAGAAGACTGTGTTTCCCAATGCAGATGTTATTAAATTGCTCATCGAATGCGGCATAGACGTCAACACAAAAAATGAAGCCAAATCAACGCCCCTGCATGTAGCATGCCAGCCTTACAACTACGACAATGAGGTAAGATCAGATCATATATTTCCCTTCACAGGGCAATGAAATATATATGCAATTTTGCAGATTGTGCACCTGCTGCTTAAGTGTGGCGCGGACATTGACCAACCGAATCGGGCGGAGAAGCGACCCTACGACTCCATAGCCTCCAATCCCACCAACACCATACCGCTACTCAACTACGTATCGCTGCAGTGCTTATGTGCGACGGTTCTTAGCAAGCATAAGATCCGTTATAAGGATCAGTTGCACAAACAGCTTGAGCAATTTGTGCATAACCATGAACCATGAGTAGGAAACTTTTGAACGCATGTCTCTGTTAAAATTGTTTGAACATATGTGTATTTAATTTGGCCATATCGAAATTTTACCAGTGTATCTTCTGTTACTTCATGTCTGTCTATTCTATATATATCTATCTATCTCTACTATTGTTAAATTATTCGGCTAAAAGCAATTGAAAACTCAATAACGAAACACACAAAAAAAAAATAATGAAAAAACAATGTGTAACAAAAGCAAAAAGTGTAAGCGATCAACGTGATATTAAATCTGTATAGGAAATGATGAAACTAAATCATTAATATTTTAGTAAACTTACAAACTAACAGAGAAAAAGGCAACAACAAAATGTTCTGTGCCGATGTTCAACTAATGTTCACACATTATCTAAATTCTGATATATGCCTGAAATATATATATATATATATATCAATATATACATTTACAAATACATACTATGTAACTGTATACACATACGACTAGAATAACTAATTTATCACTTGTTAACAAAATGAAATTAAACTCCAAATGCAATATTGTAAAATGTTAGTGGGCCAATATGAAAAAACTCACCACGCTAGTTGGCTTTAACTTATGAAAACTGCTTTTAAAAAAGTTGCCTTCCCAATTCCACAAGTGTGTGCTTAACAATCCACTTGCTTCCTTTTTAATTAACGATTGTATTAATCCTGTGTGTCAGTATTGACGCGTGTTGATGGCAGCAATTGCAGCTTAGAATCATATGTACATATATATATAAGTATATATGTGTATATATGTAACATATATATACATATACGCAGAATTAAAATCGAATCTAATCAATAAATGCATAGTTTACAGTTTACAGTCAAATAAAAATAAAATCACCTTTAAACACGTTATTTGTGCGTCTCTTTAGCATAGTCTGGTGTATTTCAAAATACTTAACAATACGTGACCGTGGATTCCAGGCCAGTGCCTAATCAGGACGAGTTGCTTCTGACCTATGTGAAGCTCTGCCTTTATTAACGTGCTTAAATCACAATACTTATACATAAGATGGGCAGATATAATACATACATACACGCATACGCAGCAACGTCTGCAAATTGTGACTGATTGACTTAAATTAAAATTCGAATATTTTAAGGATATCGTTTGAGACGACAATATTTAGGAAAGCAGTCAACATTCAAAACGCCGGCCAAGCCGCAAGCATCAGCAGAACTGTGACCGTTGGCAACCACGTTGTGCTCAAGGATTGGCCAACGTTGCGCAAATTAGTATAACTATCGACAATGTGTATCTTCCAGCCCATGTTGCCATGCGTAAAAGAATTATAATAAACGGTGTCGGGCCACGTTATATTGGGCGTAATCTCGAGCAGAGCCGGGGGCTCATCACTGCATATGTTTAGAAGGCTGCGATTGAATTTCTTGAACGTGGGAAAGTTATCATCCAAGCGACGATCGTAGTCCTCCGGATACCGAGATAAGCAAAGTGGACCCGCAGCGGTGGGCTTGGGACGACCACGACGGGTAAACTCCACGCCAGCTAGGACGCGAATTTCGCTCTGCTTGGCATCCGAGAGGCGATCATAGCCGCCCTGTGGATCATCCGTTATTACCAGTGGATGATAGTGTTCCGGCGAGTGTGGATTGTTTCCGCCACGCACTTTAAAGGTATAAGTCAAACCGCGCTTTAGAAACAGTTCTGGTATCATATAGCCGTTGATGTACCAGGCCAAGCCGCTTGAAACATGGCCCGTCAGGCCCTGATAGCCACGCAGACCGCCCGAGGGGCCGAGATAAGCATTAAAAGTGCGTACGGTGCTATGCAAAAGAAAATATATGTATAAGTTATTTCTGACCGTATTTAGGGAGTAGCTTCGCTTACGCATCTGTGATTCGAGTGCGCTCCCATAGCTGCACTGGAGTTTCCATGCGTTTTGTAAAGCTAAAGCAATCGTTAACTGGTTCTGTGGTGTTAAAGTCAATGACTATATCGCTCTTGGGATAGTGTGTATGAAAGGCGGGCTCATTGTTGGAGTCCAGCTGGCCAAAGGCCCAAATCACATAGTTGCTGCGATCCAGAAAGATTTCCTTGTCGCCATCATCAGCTGCAAATAAATGAACTTGTGATCCAAGGCATATATTAAGAAATCGAGCACCTACATGACTTGAGTATGCGCCTAAAGCTAATGGTATTGATGCCATCCTTGCGGGCGTATGTGTTCAGCTGAAAGCTATCCTGGCCGCCCACGACATCATCTCGACAGACGCCCTTATTCTGGCCCAGGACCTGTACGCATGGCGCCAGCGATGTGATATTATAGTCCACTGTGTAGCCCCTGATATCATCTATATAGGCCACAACCACATCCGCACCAATCATTTGACTGGAAACATCCGAGCCCGAGATGCCAAAGGACATATAATCCGTTTGTGCCACCTGACCGGAAAGTTGGAACGTAATCTGCGGCCCGAACACCTCCCACGACACTTGTAAATCTTTATGCAGCTGTCGGCAATTGGGCAACGAGAACTCATACGGCGTAATCTTCACCAGCGATGGTGGCACATTTAGACCATCCGGTATGAGCACGTGCCCATAATTCTCATTGTCGGCCACATCGTAGACGCTTATCCAATCGATGTCAAAGATCGTCTTGTCGCCAGGCAGCTCCAGCTCAATGGTTTCTTTTGTGTAGGTGCGTATAGGGTCGAGGCTGGAGTTAAAAATTGAATTTAGAGATAACAGCTGGGAGGGTAAATGCACATATGGATAACTCACTAGCCGCGCTCGTCGGGCATCTTGCTGCCCCGACTCGATGGCTGAGCGCCCACGCCTGTCCAGAAAAACGTGCGCTTGCCGCGCCCATCATATGTAAAGTCCTTAATGCGTATGGTCTTTGAGTCCAAGATCTCAATGCTGGTGCTGCTCACATTGTGGTTGCGTTTGGAGAAGGTGCCGCCGTTTTGAGGGCGTGGCGGTTCGAATTCTTCGGGTATATAAACATCGCCAAAGTTGTTCTGATTGTTCAAATCGTAGACCGCGAGCCACTGGATCTCGGTCATCTTCTTGCGATCGGGTAGCGTTAGCGTAAAGTCCTTGTTATGATATCGATCCAAAATGTTGGTTCTGCGGTGGGCCGTAAATAAGGTTAATGAGAAAATTTGATTAATTAACAATGTAGATAGTTTATGTATCTAGTTTTCACTCACTTGCCATACTCATCGGGCACTATGAAACCTTGCGGCCCGGGTCGATTGCTGGCGCCGGCCCAAAAGAACGTATCCGCACCGTTGCCATCGTAATTAAAGCCAACTATAAGAAATGTATACTCATTGACGGCGTAAACGTCGCCAGACACCTGATGATGATACGAGTTCAGCTTGCCCAGATATTTGCCCCGATACGGACCATCCTCATCTTCCCCCTCAGCAGCTAAAAAAGGAAAAGTCAATAAATAATATAAGCAAGCAGAAGATTATATACCCAAAAAGACTTGCGATTCAAGAAAAAATACAATTTTTAAGGGATTTTTTCCATGGGAACTTTATAATATAAAAGTGTTATATCAATATTTTACTTATAGGCTCCTAACTAGCAATGCTGAGATTGCTGAAGATATATTGAAAAAACTAAAAAGTTTTTAATACGAAAACTCAGTTTCTGTGCTTGCTTAGGAGCAATATGATATAGGAGACTGGATCGAGGTCCGAAAGGTCGCCATACCAGCCTTAAAGTAGACCAATAATAATATCATTTCTCCATATACTGGCTCGATCCAGCCGATTTCCATATATGTACTGGCTGTTAGCATACATCATAAAGCTTTAAAATTATGTATGCGAACGGAGTTGCATGCTTCTATGCATGACAAATTATAAAAACCCTTTGCCCAATATTGTAACCACACAGCAGAGGCTGTGACTAATGCTTCGGTATTTCATTTAATTTACTGCCACTGGGCCAGAGTGGCAGTAGCCATTGTCTCTGATCTCCCAGTGCCGTGAAACCGGCAACCAGCAGCAACAGTCAGCAGCAGCAGTCAGCAGTAGACAACAGTAGACAACAGTAGACACGCATAGACCAGTTTCGCTAGTTGCCGACGAAAGTGAATTTGTTTTCGCTGCTGTTGTTATTGTTGTTGCCAGCGTTTTTCTTTAACGTAACAAGCATTAAAGTTTCTCTTTCTTTTGCCGTTCATTACGATTTTTGCTGTAGACGTAAACTAAAATACATATGCATGTACTTATATGTACTCACATGCAGCTGTGTTAAAGCCCAACAGGAAAAGCGTCACAAGCGCCAATAATAGTTGTTGTCGCAGTTGGCGTCGCTGCCGCAGCGCTGCTGCAGCCCGCCCACAAGCAGCGATAGGGACGGCACAGTCGCAGCACTGACAAAGAACGCGTTGTCTTGTCAATGTCATTGCGCGTTTGCGTTGCACTCTCTCGCACTTATGCTCTCCCCACGCTCAGTTCCACGTAGATAATCGCAGCTAAGCTTCGTTCAGTTTTTTCTGCTTTCACACTCTAAATAATATTATTAATTAAGTGCACGCACTATCATTTTAATAAAGTATTTTCTTTGTTGATTTTCTTTTGCATCAGTTTTCTTGCTTCCGTGACGAATTCTGAAGTTGCGTACTTTTTTCTTAAGGTCGTTTCGTCATTCGCATGCGTTTTGCTTGTGTTATTATTATTGAATCGTCCAAAACTGGTTTTGCGTTACGGCTCCGGCGACCAAAAATCAACAGCAGTAGCAGCGACAGCAAAACGAACTGCGCGTTTAAGCTTCTCAAAATCAACTGGTGAGCGGCCGTTAACTTGGAGTTTCTTGTGACTGCTTCTGCGCGCAGCTTTCTGCCGTTGCTAAGCCTTGCTCTCTTTCGCGCTCAAAGTTTGAAAGTCGCGCGTGCGCTGCATTGCAATGAACACAGCATGTTATGCGTGTAACGGTTTTTTCGTTAGCACTATATGGAAAATACGAGGTGGGAAATATATGTTTCTAAGGTCTCGCATTTTTATCGAAATTAAAAATAAAAGCTTTAAACGAACTAAAAAGCTTATCACAGTTTCAGAACAATGGACAATTAATTGGTTTTTGACAAATTTACAGTGTATACATATTTCCTATTAATTTGATTTAAGGGACGAACTAGAGGGAGTTTATAAGTCCACGACATTTTGCCCATCTCATAGTAAAACAACCGTCAACAAGTTGATTTTCTTGCTTGCAAAACTAAACTTCGTACTTTATCTTTTATTTCATTTACCATTTTTATAGCAATTCAATAAATCTTTTTATAACTAATCAATTGCAATTATTTGTTTATTTTTTGTTTTTTAGCAATCGCAACAGTCGTGCTACCGACTTGGGTTTTAGTTCATTTTATGAATGGATTTAATTATAACTTTCTTGTGTATTCACTGCAAAAATTGTATTGCGATTTTATTTACAAAAAGGCGTGTTCAGATTTTATGATTAAAATGTCCGTTGCCTAACAAAAAATAGGCGATAAATTGTTGCAAACTAAATCATTGTTGTAGAGAAATTGTGGGCACAATTTGTATGTATGCGTGTGTGTGTGTGTTATATTTGTCTGAAACAAAATGTACATTATATGTATTAAAAATAGAATTTTCACTTAAATTGTAAACGAATTTCACACAATTTTATTACAAACAAATCATTTTTTTCCTCCTTTTTTGTTTATTATTTTTGGGCTTAATGCTTATGAATGTATATATGTGTAACTGTTATTCTTCCTGCCTTCTATTACTGTATAACTAATTCATTGAAAATACATATTATTTAATACATAATTTATTTCATAAGAAGCACATTTTTTTTTATCATTTATGCGTTTACATTCCACTTTTGAACTCGCTTTCAATGCCTGCCATCTCTTTTCATATATATACACATAATATATATATTTATTTTTTGTATATATTATGTATATTTATATTCTTCATTTATTATTTAACATTTTAGCGCACACTTTTGTTAACACTAGACGCTAGATAACCTAAGAAAGTCAACCGGTTGTGCATGACGGGACGGTCAACAAGTTGAATTATGGATAATAAACTTTACAAAACAAATATGACTGTAGAGTTATGAAAAGAAAATCCACCAGATCAGGGTCGGAGCCGTAATGAGCAGGTGAGGGAGGTTTCTGGCTATATGTTGAAATTGTTGGTCTTGGACGCATGCACGCAAAGTGTAACTAAAAATAAAAATACTTAGCTTATAACGTAGCGTAAAAAATAAGTGGGCTTTTAGTAAGACATTAAATTATAGAAATTGAGAGCACTAATTAGAAGTTTAACTTAGGTTGTGATTTATAAGCTTTCTCATAAATATGCATTATTTGTAAGACTGCATATTTATACTTTATTTTAGTTTGAATTAAGTTTTTTTGTTTCCTTTTTTTTTTAGATTAAATTTAAGTTTTTAGAATGAGCATTTTAATTATGTTTTGCGTGATTCTCATGAGTGATAACAGAGAAGGGGAGGGAAAAGGCATGCGCTGGAGTTGATTTTTATTGAGATTTAGAATTATATATTAAGAGGTATGTGAGCTATATAAATTGTTTTTCGTTTTTAACAGCATGGAATGAACTTGATCGAAAACGAAAATATAGAAATATACAACAAAACAAAGCGCACAACTTTTGTGTCCAACTTTATGATTTCCGATTTTGTTCTTAAACTTAACAAGCGAACATAAAACGAACGAGCTTGGTATTACAATATGCATTTTGTGTGTGTGTGTGTGTGTTTTTTTAATGTTAATATTTTTTGTTTATTAGAAATACTTGGGCGCGTAATTATGTATACATATAAAAAATCTTGGGGGCACTACGTTGGATAATTCGATTGTTTCTTTAATTACGCTACAATGAAAATTAAATTTCTGCTTCACCATTTTTTTAATTTTATCTATGTATAAAAAATGTTTATTTATCTTGTACCACTAAGGAAAAATGTTACAAAGCTTTTGCTATGGCATTTATGTGTATGTGTTTATATGTAAGTGAGTGTATATATGTGTACATGGGTGTGTGTGTGTGTAAGGGTCCTGGAAAAACATTAGGCAAACAGTTTATGGGAAATTTGATAGCGCTTTTGAAACAAACCAATCGAATAAACATTTAAATGAGGCGAATGTTGCCACTGTTGCCAAGGCTGTGCCGAGGCCCTAGTAATTGGCGTGGATGTGTACAATGCTTGCAATAGTAGTTTTAGCTAAAATTTGTCCTGAAATATGAACAGATTATTAGTCGCGGCCACAGCGATGATATTCTCCTCGGGATGCCAAGCAGTGTGCAAGATTTTCTTATTGAAGTCCAGACAGTCGACGCTGATTTCATCTTTCTTTCGTTTGCCGCCAGTGCAAACTTTGCGTGGCTTAAGGACTGTCTTGGGCTTTATAATGTCCCTGGATGCCTCCAGCGTGACATCCTTTTTCGAGTTACGATCAAAGACCCGGAAGAAGTTATTGTAACTGCCGGTCATTATGGAGCTATCCTTGCCATTCCAACAACACTCGAACTTATCAAAGATACAGTCATTCTCATACAGCGAGCACAGCTTGGCGCGTAGATATTCATGAACCTGCAAGGAGACACATGATTATAATTAAACTCAGGTGAAACAAGTTTGGTGACTCACCGGATAAGTCTCAATGGGTTTTGTCTCCATGTGCAAGTCCCACACCTTGATGCTTAAATAGTCTCTGGAGATCATGTAGCGGCCTGAGTTACTTAGCTTGACATCACTTATGGAGCTTATAATCTCACTAAAGAAACTACGATTCGTTGGATTTTCGGGCTCCTCGAATTGTTTGCTATGGCGATCGCAAAGCGCCGCCGAGCGCATATCACATAATCGTATTGTGCCCTTGGAGCTGGAGTAGACAAACACATTGCATTCGGTCGGATGGAATTCGGCTGCGGTGATGACTTCCGTTAGCTCTTCCATGTTGGTTGGCTTGATGTCAACAATATTGTAACTCTGATTGACCACCTCCAGATGCCAGAGGTTAATACGCAAATCATCGGCCGATAGGAAAGTCTCTTGGTCAGAATTAACGCTAATTGAATTGATGTGATAGGTGTGTGCATTGGCAAAGGTGCGACGTGGCGAGGCCTCCACCATAAGCGGTACTTGCTTCACTGAAGGAACTCGTAAGGCGGTTACATTTTGTGGATCTCTAATCAGACCGTTCTCCTCTTTTGTGTTGTAGCCCTCGAACGACTTATCGCGCTCACTGACCTTCCATAATTTTACCGTTTTATCATTGGTGGACAGCAAAAAGTGCACGGGATTCTTTTGATGCAGCCATCGTATCTTATTGATTTTCTCCTCGATTTCCAGCGATTTAAGATAATCAAATTCAGGCTCGTGCGATTGGAATGTCGAATAGACATTATATTCACCGCGTCGCGGATTGGCGGTTTTCGAGGCGGGATCACGCTGAAATCAAAAAATTAATTAAAACAAACAATTTTATAATAAATAACTTTAATTTCTATTCACCTGAAAGATGACGACGCGACCTCCTTTATCGCCCGTGGCCAGCAGCTCGCCATCGTGATTGAACTCCACGCAGGATATGATATCCGCATCAGTGACATCATCGTCCAAGGCGCCCTTGATCTGTGAGAAGCACCAGGACGCCTCTCCATTACCTGTCGACGAAAAGAGTGAAACATGAAAAATAAGACACAATATTCAATTTCACAATTTCCCGTCACATCCCATTGCCTAACTAAAAGTTCGAAATAAGTGCTTGCCACATTTGATTTTCGCTCTCGCCCAGACACAATCAATAGCTTTAGCTGTAGCTGCCAGAGGACAACGATGACGTCTGCCCTGCTTAAATATTTACTAATGACGCCATTTCCAGCCACTGTCAGCTTTTGGCTTTAAATTGCTTTAAGCACTGCCGCTGGTCAACAGAATATAAGAGCCTTATTCATGCACACACAATAATATATATGCTCAGCTCCTTTCTGCACTGTTTGCCAGCCACTTTTTGCGATTGCTGCACGTTGTGTAAACGTACTGCATAAGGTTTTCATTTCCAAAATGTGTTTGACTCTTATTTTTCATACATTTCATCATCCCGTTTCTGTGCACTTCACATAGAGCTTGATACCATCGAATACCTCATGTAAAACATAAATGAAAAAGGCTACACAAGGGGTGCTAAGTATTATAATAATATGTATAGCAAATGTACGATGTATTTTTATAGTTAGCCACACAGCGTAGTTGTCTACAATAACTTAATTTTTGACCAACTTTTCCTGTGACAGAAGTCAAATATAAATTGGTTTTTGGTGATCAGTTTCTATGGCTCGTGGCCCGGATCAAGAATATATGTATATGTTATACTGTAAAGGGTTGTATACTTTCATACTGTTACGACATTTAATAATTAATATTTTTTATTGATTACTGGGTATATTCAAGTCGTAATTTATTTGCTGATGCTCCTTCGAAATGTTCATGTGCTCTGCCAGGAGATTTTCTGTTTAACATTTTTCTGCCTGGCACTCTATGCTGATTACAATACATGGCTTTTCAAAGCGCCACTGGCGACGTCATGATTTGATTGACGAACCCGAGCTGCGCTCCATTGACAATAATGGGATCAGTCAGTCAGTCAATTATATGGTCCGGCCTTATATTTGCTGACATTCGTAACGATTACGTTGCCAATACGAACACCCACCGACCCAACGACCCGGTCGCACAGTTTGGCAGTCATTGAACTCATTTCTTTGTGCTTAGTTTGAACTGAAAGTGCTAAAGCTATGTAATTGCAAAACCAGAATGCACACAATAGCTAGAATTGAATATACACATATATTTTATACCCATGAGATAGCCACAAACAATAACAACAAATTAAACAGCACCACGCACACGCAAAACGTGGCGGCAGACTGTTTTCCGGGTCAAGGCAACTAAACATGTCCCAAGTTTTAGACAATAATCCGTAAACGAGGGCAAACCAAAAATTACTATTTCTCTTTTATATTTAAAATAAACAAATATGTAAAGAGTTATTAGCTAATTTGGGAAAGAAGGGTTCTAAACGAGAGTGCATATATATTATTTCACCCCGAACCCATTGAAAATGGGTAAAAAGCGTATAAAGCTTTTGCGCAAGTGCCTGTACCAGGCAGGAAGAAGCATCTCCGGCCGGATAAAGTAGTCTCGATTAGGAGGATGAGCTGATTCAAACTGGCTTTGCCCATCAAGCCAGCTGCTCGATTATATTCCGTATACCGTACGCAATACTAGTCTATCATTCTGATCGATTTTTAAATCTGAATTTTTTAAGCATTATTCGATTATTATAAAATTAAGAGACACCAAATATCTAATAGTATATACAGACCTAAAACATTTATATATATATATATATATATATATATATATATATATATATAAGGCTTTGCCACATATGTATATACCCTGAATATTTCATAAGGATCGGGCTATAAATACAGACGAAGGAAGGAATGAAGGAAATTGGAATGTTTGTGAAGATTGTTCGTCGCAGGGTTCAAGGTATCTCCTAGTCCTAGGGTATCTCGCGACTTGACCACTTTTACTTGATAATTTTCCTTGCAAGCCTGTATGGAAGTTCAGGGACTTAATATTATGCACAAATTACTGTCCTGGCAAGTGATCAGATGACAAATATGATTAGAGATTCTGCAGCAAGCAGGTCTTTTTTGTGTAACAACAGCATTAAAAAAGTCGAACCCAGGGACCTGATCAAAGATACATCTGTTCCTGTTTGTGGATAATAGCCAAAAATATAGATATGTGTAAGCTCCCTATTACATACATACGTACATATTTTAAAGCCGACTGTTTAACTTTTAAAACTAGGCAACCTTGAATGGTTTAGTGCTTGGCATTACGAGAGCTTATTTTGGTATGTCTATTAATATAATCGGAACAGATTTTTGGTTTTTAGTCCAATTTATTATGCCTCAGCGAACTCACAAAAACACACGCACACACATTCATTCTCGTAAGCCAACTAAATGTTACTCAAATATTGACACAATTATTTAACACAACCACGCGATGTCACGACAACCACGGCAAACCCGCCGTCCTGGAACGAACGACCTAGAGCCAAGCGCCCTCTCATGATTGTCTGCCTGTGTCTCGATAAATAGAAGCTAAAACGAGGGCGGAGGAAATACAATTTCTATTGAAAATACACTAACAGCAGGTTGATGTGAGTGTGCCTTCTCGTGTACATGTTAGTTGGAGGCATAGCTGAGTGAACGTAACCCATTCGGCCATAAGCCCGGAGGCTCCAATTTCTTAAGATGCCGAGCGGTTCTTTGTGACTAGATGACTGCGTAATTAAACACATTAGGCAGAGAAACCATTTTATGAACAAAATGACAGTGGTCTGATAGTATTTATAATATATTTATAACTACTATTTCCCGGTAGTGTTCACCAGGTATCCACGTAACCGCCCCCCCCCCCCCCCCCACGCGCAACGCTGTTGTATCAGCTAAGAAAGTTGTTTTTATTCATTTTCCTGCATATATTAAAAAATACTTATTGTGTTTTTCGCCTTATCGTGGGGTTGAACCAGCAACCAACTAGCCAACTTTGTGTTGACATTGCATTTCTTTATTGTTTTTTAAATTTTAAAGGAAGTTTCAGCATCGATTTGGGTTACGCGTTGATCATCGTTCAGACACTCATTCAGTGATTTAGTCAGGCAGTCAGTCAAAAAGAGAGTAACTGGAAGCTAATAGGTTTAATGCTTGTAGGTTCTACCAATGATAATAAAAGATCAATTTTATTTTCCTTTGAGGTTTGTTCCAAAATAATAGCCATTTCCCCCACCCTCCTCCTTTTTTTAGTTTCCCTTTGTTAATTCCCACCACTCTGCTTTGTTTCCTTACTCGCTCACTTAAACTCTTACTCTCAATTACTTAACTAAATCAATGCAAAAGTCTACAAACCGTACTTAAATTTTTGAAAATCGTAAAGAAAGAAATAAAGCAGAATAACGTCATTCTTTGCGGTTTTTATAAATACAATAACGGTTTGTAGACTTTTGTTTCAACCACTTAAAAATATTTCATAAGTTCATTGTTTTTACAAATGTAATTAGGAATTGAAAACATTTCTTGTAAAAGTGGTGTTCTTATTCTCTCTCTATTTCTATCTTAGCTGTAAATCCTGCCGCACAAACTTTGTTGAAGTGCATTTCACAAAATGTGTACATAAAAGTTCGTTAAAACTTTAACATTGATTGCAGTCAATATATGTTTGCATTTGTATTGCAGAGAATAAAACTTTGTGTCATGTTTGTCTGGCCGCGCCTACCTCGACAATCGCCTAAGGGCAATAAGCAGACCGAGAACTTGTTTTTGAATCAAACTTAATTTACACAGAATGTGTGACTACAATATAGGATACAGATACAAATTTATCTATATGCATATATTTGTCATATATATTATGTATCTATCTATTTGTTGACCGTGCTCCCAATGTCTGTATTTGCGCAATTGCTTATGATTTAATTATACTGTTTGGCTTTTTAAATATTGCAAATGCAATTGAGCAGTTAGTAATTTTCTATCAGTTATATCAGCCAGGGTGCAAGTATGGGGTTTAAAGCGAAAATAAAAATGATAGCAAATGACTAAAATTGCATTAGAGGCAAAAACAGCCAATCTTTTTGTGATCAAATATCACTCATACATTCTCACAAATTGCCTACTTTATAGGTATGAATGCGCGCACATCTGGTTTAGTATTTTTTTTTCTGCCTACTATATAATATATCGTGCACGTAGCAGGGGCAATTTTTGACTCTCGCTCAATTGCAAAGATCAATGCCAACTGATAGACAGAGTTGTTTATGTACTAATAAACTAGAGCTCGGCTATTTTTTCCTACATTTGTTTACTTCGTGTATAATTTGTTTAAACGCTGTGCTGCAACAATTTAATGCAAAAATCAAAATTCAAATCCAATCACATGCACAAACACACACACATTTGCATGTGTGTAGGAAAGTATTCCGACAAGAAGACGAAGCAGAATTAAAACAACTTACCGGCCATGACAGTTGAACAGCTTTCGTTGAACGGCGCGCGCAAGTTAGCAGGAGGCAGCACTCAAAAGCAGCAGCAACAACAACAACAGCAACGCAACCAATCGCACACAACAAAAATAATAAGGCCAAGGAGTTGCTTTTGCGCTCTCAAACTCACTCTCTACCACTCTAAACGCTCTCTGGTCTACTATTTTTATGTGCGTGTGTTGGGAAACGTGCGTTTTTTATTGTTGTTGGTGTTGTTGATGTGGAGGAGTGTTGAGCGCGGTTTCTTTTTTCAAAGGAGTTGAGCTTGGCATACAAAAGAGAAACGACGAACACAACGGAAAGCAAAAGCAAAAGACAAAACCAAAGTGCTTAACTTTCGTAGCTTTTGTTTCTGCCCTTTTTCTTGTTGTTGTTTGGTTTATATATATATAAATATGTATATTGTTTTTTTCCTCTCTGCTTTTTGTTCCTACAGTCGCTGCTTAGCACAACTTAAGCACGTATACGTATTTACTGGTGACGACAACGACGTCGACGACATGTGGGGAAGAAACTGCAAAGTATGGGAGTTTTTCTTTTGTACATACGCCGACAGCTTCATAGCGATGACAGCGACGGCGGCGGCGACGAGCAGCAGCAGCAGGAACGGCAGCCGCAAGGCCTTCGTCTATATTTGTGTGTGTGTGTGTGTGTGTTCGTTCAGCCGGTGGTTGTGCCAAAAGTTATCTCGAAATTACTTTGCACTATTCTAGGCGAATCGCGGGAACAGAGCACTACAAGTGATAAACGAGACACTGTAAAACGATATTAACGCTCCCGCATATTTGCTAAACAATGCGATTAATATTATTTATTTTGTGGCACAAAACAAACACCAACAAATCGCCGTGTAGACGTCTTCTCTTCGCGTTTACCTAACGCCTTACGCCTTGCGCTCTGTTTTATCGCATTTTCTTCGCAAGTATATACACATGTATTTCTTTACAATCTAACCTTCAAAATATATATTCCTTGTTTAGCACTAAATCTTACAGCACGAATTGCATATTCATATTTATTTTGACATTCAGTTGCAGCTTTTGGCGTGTTGAACCGTTGCTTTGTTATAAAAGCGCGCTGACAGAACCGACGGCGTCGCTGGCGACAACGCACAATCAATATTCGATTAAAATGCGCCTCGTACTTAATGTTTTCTTTATTTTTATATATTTGTTTTGGCTAAACACTGCACAGGCTAACGCGTCACGACAAAGATTATCAGCTCAGTATTGTGCTCGATGTTGAGCTCGTATGACAAATATGGCAAAAAAGAAAAAAAAACCGAGATTCTAATGCTGCTCTGTTCAGCTGCTTCTTCTTCCAGTTTTTGCCGCCTCTTTTGATGCACTGCTTCGTCGCCGCCGTCGTCGCTGCGTTGCGTCGTCGTTTTTGCAAAATGCGGCAGCGGCGGCCAAGATTTACGCACTTTTAAACTATGTACATCATTGCAATAATACAATTTCAATGCGGCAATAACACTTAAACGCGTTGTTAACAATTTCAACTTAATTTATGACTAATTTGTTTTGAAAATTTCAACATAAAAATGGAAGTACAAAATGTATTGCAAATTTCGCACTTTACAATAGCAGTTTCAGGCCACTAAAACTGCCGGAAACGAACGGCGTTGCGCATTCCTGCAGTGTTGGTCAATGTGCATTTTCAGTGCTCTATAATGCGATACTCTACAGCTGTCTGGGTTGTCGCATATTTATTCGTACATGGCGCGCTAAATATTCAAACATAAATATACGACGAAGTAACTTACTTTGCGGCCTTTTGGCACCGTTTATATTGATGGCCGTATTAAGCATGTTGCCAATTTTTGTAATGCTCGATTGTCGCATGAATGTGCGCGGCGGTATAGGTGGTGGCTGTGGATCAGGCGGCTCCAGCACTGGACTTTGTCGACCCCATCGACCCATTTTGACGTCTGTGTTTTGCTGCTACAGTTTGCGAGCTGTAAATGAATAAAATGATCGAATCTATTAACATTCATTTTGAAGCACAATCGCACTCAAATACACTGAAACACACACAATCAGACGTATTGTATAATGGATATTTACTTAAAACTTGGTCACTTTAGGCCTTAGCACATGAGCGGATTTCGTGTTTTTCAATTTGTCAGGCAATTAACACCTGTCCCCGGCGTGCGATCCTCTTGCGCTCTCCCTCGCACTGGATTTCTCTTTCTGCCCACTTGCACTTATCACGCAAATGTCGCCGACTAGATTTATTTTTCTTTCTAGATTTTGCACACAAATTAATTGTGCAAATGTGTCTGTCGTTTGTTTACATTGGACATTACGTTTACGTGCACGCCGCTTACCAAATCCAAAAACAACTTCCCCATCTGCTGGGCAAATTTTAAAGCCCCCTAAGTCAGAACTCGGTACGTCTAGAGGTGTGTCTGACGTCGGTTAAGCGCTAATGTGCCATATTTTAATGATTAATTATTCGTAAAGGAACTATGTATCCAAATAAGAAAGTTGATTGCTTAACCTTTTATAAAGTATCGCAATAAAAGGTATTTAATATATTTAAAAGCTAAACATTAAAAATTAGATCAATATGACTAGGTAAATATGAAAAAATTGTTAAAAATTCCAATCAACAATTACGAAAATCGCTAAAAGGCAATTCAAATATTTATTATATAAAAAAAGTCTCCGAAAAGCTTCAGAGTGAAAAATTGACTTAAGGGAGGCACACTTAAGTATGGGAGTGTGTCTTAAATGCAACAAGTTGATACGAGGCATGCGCCCTAAGATGAACAACAAAACAACGTATAAAAAAGACAAAATACAAAAGAAAAGAAAATAGCCAACATGGGATTCTAATCCAATTAATGGGCCAACGTCTCAATGTGTTGTTGGGAAACGTGAGTAAGCGCGTGGCCAACGCATTAAGTGAATTTAGGGAAAATTGTTTTTTCCTTACAAGAGCTCTAGAAATTGGCGTCGTTAGAATATCGACTGGGGAAATGTGAAATGTCATTGAAGTTCAAAATTAAACATGCACAATGCAAAATTAAAAACAACAACGACAGCCAAATTTGTTAAGTTGAATTTCAGAAATACAAATACAAAATGTATATGTTTTTTTTTCTTTTCCCTGTTTGCCTTAGTCACATCCACAAAACAAAACAAACAGCGGCAAATTTTTAAGAAATAGCAAATTATGCTGTCATTGTTTTCTCTCTTTCTATACGCTTCCACAGTTGCATCCTATGCACTTGTAACTAAATTTGTAACATGAAAAAACCAGCCTCGTTAAAATCTTTGATATTGTTAAAATCTTTGATATTGAGGTCTGCACTTTTTACCAAATATACGTGTGTAGAAACTTTAGACCCCAATTTGGAGTTTCATACATCTAAGGAACTCGGATCATGTACTTAAAGGCTAAGAAAATAAGATGTCTACGGATAACTCTGGGATTTTACATCTTACTCTAGATGAAGTAAAAATTGTAAACATGGAAATAATTAAAATTGAATGATAAATTTATAAATGCATATAAAGTTATTCCTACACATATATTTCCCCATATTGATACTCTTCTATAGGGTGTTTATGCCTAGTGACAGCTTAATTAATTCTGGTACCTCACAAAAACAACTTGCCCAATTAGCAAGGAAGGGTATATCGAGTTTCGATATGTTACCAATATGTTTCTCAAAATGTGGTGAAGTGCAAAAGACAAGAGATTGCGATCAGAGCAAACTCAACGGAAGGAAAACGAGAAAAACAAAACGAATAAAAACCAAAATTAAATTATTTTTATTTATACATATGTGTGTGCGTATGTACATTGTACATATTTATATATTGCTTAGCAATAATACAAACATTGAAGGTAGCCCCCAGTTTCAGTTTTGTTTATTTTTAAAAGAATGTGAAGGAAATGCTGAAAATTCGTTAGCAAACACACACACTCACAGGCATACACACACAACAGAAACTGCGACCGGGGCGCCTAAAAATAGGCAGGACGACAATTTGAAAGTCCAGCCGCACGTGCAACACGAGACCGACTCCTGTCCCCCCAGCCGCTTTGCGTATGTTCTCGTGTGTGTAAATATTTTTGGATGCTACCTTTAAACATGTCAATCCACTCTCAGTTCGGGCAAGTTAAATGTGCTTTTAAAGTGAGTGGGAGAGAATAGAATCATTTATATTTAGACAATTTCATCAGAGCGTGTGCCAAATTGTCTGTAAACCAGGATGTACCTATGTACGTATGTTTCGCAATCAGTTATGACCTCCCCCCGGCTCCACCGACAGTCAATGATAAGGATAAAGTAAGGCAGAAGGCGAGATCTACTTTTGCCGGTGGCAATATCATATCCAGCGACAGATAATAACAACAAATATCGATGCGTAAATCGATGGGCCAATATTGTTTCTTATCATGTTGTGTGAGCTGTTCGTCTAATTAATGCACTAAATAAATAAATGCCGAAACTAATTAAGCTTTTGACAAAAATAAAATGGCTTTTGAGGTGTATTGCGCACATACTATTGACAGGTCTTAAGCTAAACAAATTACATGCCAGTTATCATTATGGACTCAGATAAAAGCGCGTGTCGCGCTTGTTTAGCCAAGCAATTTGAATGAATTTGTTGTAATTGATGCAAACAGCTTAAACAAATATTTTTTGGCATAGAACTTAGCTAGTGACAAAATAGCTGCCATTAATTGTTGTTATACAATGAATTTACTTTTTGAATTTTTATGGCAAATACAACTGTTGCTGCTGCTTTTTAGTGAAACAATGTTGTTAACCTCAAAAGCCGCCAAGAACGTCAACAACTAAAACTTGGATCGCACGTACAAAGCGACGTAGCGTCTAAAAAGGCGGGAGGGGAGGTGTAAGCTGTACGGGGCTTGGGCTCTAAAACGGTATGGGGTTACCTTTGTTATGTACTGTGTATATGATATCATTATGCACACGCACACACACACACACACACACACATACGCATATATGAAACTAAATGCACAAAGCTACGTAGGAACTTATAACAGATCCGCACATAACTTATTAGCGAGTTTTACCGCAGTTTGGCGAAACTTGGCAACGTTTTTTTTTTTATTTATTATTGCTACTTTTTTTTTTTGGTTTTTGACGGCAATACATATTGAAACAGCTGTATTGCCATAAAAAAGGAGAAAAAAAGTGACAAAATCACACGCGCACATAAGCCAAATGTTAAAACAGATCTCTAAAAGCTAAAACAGCAAAATCACAAAAAACTAATTTGCATTTTTGAATATATTTTCTTGTATACCATTTATTGGATTTGCCCTTACTTATAAAAACCTTTCAGTCATATTTCAAATTGTAAACTACCTGAAGTAACTGCCAGATGATGCGTTACAATTGAATCGATTTTATCGCCTGTTTCGTCTTATCATTTGTTGCTCTTTTATGTTAATTTGTCTTTTTCTTTTGTATTGGGTTTGTGTTAGGTTTAAGTGTGGTTTGTTTTGCTATTGCCCAAAGTTGTATGTGTAACAGTTAACGGTAATCTTCTTGCTGTTATCAACCGTTTTTATTGTTTATGATCACTTGCACTTTTTAAATTGAACTTGAAAAGGAGAGCCAAGCGCGTATAGCACATACACACATACGCCGTGAGCTTGACAAAGGCACTAAAACTGATTTAAATTTTACCCAACTTGGACGCAAATCAAAAAACCGCAAAAGCGAAACAGTCAACGCGGCGTCGTTAAAATTAGCACTAAACTCGCATGCGTCGCCCAGCGAATGTGCGGCCTATGATTTCTACTAACGTGTACAGTGGGGCACAGCTTAAACGAATTTAATTACATATGCCAAATTTGTAAGAAAATTATATGCATCGAATTAGTACAATAATCCTGATTTTTTGGAACATTTGCATTCCTAAGTTTATGGTAAACCCAAGTTATCTACATCTTAATATACAAATTTTTCTAAACGACTTATTTATTTATTTTTTTTTTTTAGTTTTCTTAAGATGGAAATACAGATACAGTAATAGCTGATATTTTCACATTATTAAAGTTTCACAGATTATCCAAAGGGGAATCAGCATTTAATCCATCAATTTTTCTGCTGCTTGGTGTTTAGTCAGTTTTTAAAACTACATTCCACTGTGCACAAACGTGCGCTCGCGCGCTCTCTTTCTCTTTCGCATTCTCAGCAGTGGCGCTCGGCACCTGCTGTTCCAATGTTAGTTTGTGTGACCAAGTGTGTGTGTGTGTGTGTGTGTGTGAAGGGGAATGGGGAGCGAAGACCCCTCTCTTGCTTCCTCAGCATGTGTTTCTGTGACCGTGAGGAGGCTGATCGTGCTCTTTCTTTTTGAAGATTTTTGTAAAATGTAAACAAAACGTTGTGCGAGTGAGTAACTGATGTTATTATTATTGTTATTTTATTGTTGTTGGTGCTGTCGCCGTCTCGGTGTTCTTCTGATAAACGCTAATTTGCATATTGCTGTTGCGCGTTTATGTGCCATGTTTACTCTAGTATCAGCCATTAAATGATAAAATAAACGCTGCTTAAATAAGAAAGCAATTAGGAAGGAAGTCGTGCAACAGAAGATTTTTACCACATATCTCTAAAACTTTTGGTTAACAAATTAATATCCTTATTTAGTATATTGTATTTGAGACGCAAATGATTGCTATGAGTTGTCCAGTCCTCGATGCCATGATGGAACATCACCTCAAGTACCAACAGCTGCTCGTATAGCACATCCCAATCGATGCCGATGGTGGCAGCGCATGTTTCCAGCAGCCAACGAAACGAACAGGGGAAGATCGTACGCAGTTTCTGCTTACTCGTGTCACTAATCCTTGTTATATATCCGTGGAGCAGCCAGCAATCGAAATTGGAAATTTTTAACAAAAGCTCATCCAGCTGCTGTTGCTCTGCGCCGTCTTTAATTTGATTTGCATCACTGCTTTCGGGCTTAGGCTGAGCTGACGCTTCTATTTCCTCTGAAAATGGTCGCATTTGGCGACGAGGCATCTTTAGCGGCACACGCAACGGATCCATGTTGCGCTCATCGAATGTTTGTATGGCTGCCAAATTGTTTAGCGACACCTCCTCATTGTTCAGAGTTAGTACATAAGTGGGAGTGTCGCGTATTTTCCAAAACGGATTGTCAGTCTCTAAGGCTTCGCGGCGTTCGGAGCGCTCTCTCATTTTATTTGCATATTGCCGACCATAAGATGCAACAGGTTGACGAAATACAAAGCCGGGTCGCTTTTCCCGCCGCCGTAGCTCGTCAATCCAGGTCTGTGTATCTATGTCACAATTAGCGCGCCATTCCTTCTGTCGATTTGGTTGTCGTGGCAGCGTCTGAAAAATGCCAGTCTCCACGTAATCCTCCTGGCATGCCAACTCCTCTACGCGAAGGGTTTTGCCACGCACGGCTAACTGCTGAGCCAACTCTGTGGTTTGATTTTTAAACGGCGCGAGTTGGCGCTCTGTGTGATCTACTTTCATAAAGTCCGGAATCTGTACACTCATCTCGCGCTGCTGCGCTTGGCTGGCGTGGAGGAGAATGCGCTTAAAATAGCTATGGGCCGGAGTTAGGCTAGGCTGAAATTCTATGTGATCCTTCGTTGCACTCTCGGCACCGGACTCGCCGAATTTTTCTTTCAGCAGTGTCTCAAAAATGTGACAAATGTTCTCGTTCACGCGCTGCATGGCCGGTGTCATCAACATCTCGTTGTAGTTATATTCATGCTCCTTCTGTTTTTTCTCCTTCTTCAGAAAGTCGTCAATCTTGCGCCCACTCTGAGTAGCCGTACCAAAACGCTGTGCAAAGCTTTCGCTATAGTGAGAAACCAAAATTTTACGTAACTCCACAAACTCCATCCATTCGGTATAGACAAAAAGCGGCGACACCGACTGCAGGTGCTCCTCTGTCTGCTGTTGAAGCTGTTTATTAATGAGTATGGCAGATTCTGATATAGCGCGCTCCTTAACATCATCCAGGCCAAACAATAGCTTTAAGACGTATATGATGTAGGCCATGACACGAGCCTCATAGCGGGGATATACATGTGGTCCGTAAATGGGATCAAAGGTAGGTGGCAGCACATCCATTAAACTGCCGACGTAGCTTGCTATTAGCGGCGGCAAACTCAGTTCTAGTACATAGCGCTTTGTGAGTGCTTTCAGATCTGGTTTTTGGAATCCATTCAGATTAATGAAGCGGGACATGTTAGAGATCTGCAACCGCATGAACTGAAAAATGATGATTTAGAATTACGTTTAACACTTTCCTCTCTATTTAGTTTAAAAGTGCATAAATATTATTATATACTAAATGCTATGTTAGATCTTTTTTTGACACTGTAATTTTTTTTAGTTCGCTTGAGCTTTAATTGTTTTCAAGTTTACCTTATATCGAATTTTATCCCTTTGATGACTAAATTCCATCTGCTTGATCAGCGTCTTGCCATGCATGGCTACATTGTCAGGCAAATAGCTCAGCATATAGCGACTAGTCAGATGCTCCTCATCAATTAATCGTAATAGATCCGTCAACTGGATATCGTCCTCGACTTGGTTAAGCGCTATGGCCAGCACAATATACAGTTTGCTTATGTTTAGACAGTAAATATGGCGATCAAAATTGCATAAGACCTTCGCTTTGGGGCGTAGGCCATGACATTGCATACTGCCCGAACTGTCCGCGCTGTGTTTATCCAGATGCTTAAGTGGCATTTGCTTTTTCAGGGATTTGCGCGCATTGCTGGACCATTGTAGTTGGAGATTTTGGTTGGTTCGCAACGTGGATTCAGATTGGGCGCCCTTCTTGCCGTTATAGCCCGACTCGTCCAATTTGCGCTGGAAAAGAGAAACGAGAGCAAGACCTTTTGATGTCAGTGCCGTGTAGATAGCCAGGTGATTGATTAGCTAAGGTAATTTGTAAAGTCGTTTGCATATGCTTCAGCCGACTATAAATACGCCAGCTAAGCCAGGAAAATATCAGTTCAGCATTTTGTCTTAAGCATTACAACATCAACATTTTCGAAAATGTCTCTGCGTTTTGCCCTGGTCTGCCTAGCACTTCTTGTGTTGGTGTACGCACCGCTGCCCGCATCAGCGGCACCCCTAGAGCTTAACGAGGGTAAGTTTTAGCGGCTGCGAAATGAGCTGATAATATAATTGTCTACACACAGCTGCTTTGGTGGAGGGTAATATCGTTCCTGGAGTGGGACCGACACCGTCACCTTCAGCATCGGAGCCAGGCAAACCAAAGCAGCGCACCTTCTTCCTGTTGCTGCCACTCCTGTTTCCCGACCAGTACTACTTTTAATGTACGGCACGGACAGCCCACTGAGTTTACTATGATAAAGATTTAAAAAAAAGTAATAAAGTTTAAACTTTTAGCATGCAAACACCTTGGTCTTTCTCCATTCACGCCAGTTGGCGCGCTCATCCCCTTGATTTTGTAATTGTTTATCCTGGCGTTCACGCTTTCGCTTTGTCTTCTTGTAATTATAAATGATGCGGGCATCTCTAAAAGGCAGCGAAATTATAAACAAAATGTACTTGAATGTTAAAGCCTCTTTCCTTACCTGGCCAAGGCGCGCACATTCAACTTTGGCAAACCTAGCTCGTTGTTCTTGCTGAAGGCCACCTCCATGCGTCCCATGTAGGCAGCCCATACCTGCAGCGTCATTAGCTTAAGCTCTGGCTTGGCGCCCATGTTCAGCAGCTCCTCCAAAAAGCCGCGCAGCACATAATTGTAAAACTCCCAGGATGTTATATCGTTTTCTTCTTCCTCAACTTTCGGCTTCTTTATGGTGCGTTGCGAAGCGTGCTTTGAAGTGTCGTTGAATGTATCCTCGGCGCTGATTTCTACAGCGCGCAGTTGTTCCTTCTTGGTGCCGCATTCGATGCAGTAGTAGTAGCCTTCGCGTTCCTGGAACGTGCGCTCGCCGCATACGTCGCACTCCATATTATCTATTTCCATTATTTCTGTCTCGTCCATTTTGCTTTATAAATATAAAAAATCAACACACGTGCTGGAACGACAATTCCTATAATAACAAATATCTTGATAGGTACTTTTGCATTAAATCGATATCGATATAATCGGTTTAATGCCGATAGAAATTGCGCGCAACTTAAAATAAAGTGCTAGTATTGAACGTCGCTGTTGCTATAATATTCTTATCGATTTAGTTAATTTAAGGAAAAGTTAACCATTTTTAGAACTGCGAACTGCTAAAAAAAAAAAAATTCAAAATTGATCAGAATTTAGCGGCCAAAAAAATGAATTGAGATTAAATGGAAATTTCCTAAAACTAGCTAAGTGCTGACATGGCATTACACAACACTAAATCTGTCCACTGCTCGCGCCTTTTGACCTATCCCAATGTTTCAAATGTGCTGAATAAGTCATTTCCCTAATTAAATTGCGGCGTTTATATAAGCTGAATGTGCTGTGCGTATAAGACTTAGCCGCTTAATGGATAACTAAATTTAGACGGCTGTCTACCAGTAATGACCAGTATTAAATTGCCTTGCCCTAACGCAGGGCGCGAAAACAAAAGCTAAAATTTTGTGCGCGTTGAAAGCTTCCGACTGCAATAGGCAGTCGCTCACAGACAGTCGGTTAGTGCAAGTGCAGCAGCGGACATGTGTTCACACGACAACAATCTAAATGCCGAGCATCCAGATTTGGATTCTACGTCGGAGAATGAGCAGGAGCTGATATTGAAAAAGGAGCAGCTTCAGGTGCAGGAACTGAGCGATTGGTTAGACGCAAATCCGAATATAAATGGCTGTAAAGCCTATGCGAATTTGCACTTTTTCCTGCGCACCTGTAAATTTGACGTTGAGCGCGCCAAAAAGAAGCTTAAAACCTTTTACCAAATGCGTGCCGAGCGTACCGAATGGTTTGACAATTGCAATCCCATGTTGCCCGAAATACAGGAGCTGCTTGCCTTGGGAGTCTTTCTCCCCGTTGACGGCGTCGATGAGCAGCAACGAAAGGTTGTAATTATACGGACGGCGGCACACGATCCTAAACGACATACACAAAACAACGTGTTTAAGGTAGACCAGGTATATATAATAGCTAAAAGTGCAATGATCTCTAACTTTTGACTTCTTGTAGACAAGCAAAATGATATTGGATTTGCTATTAAAGTTTGAGCCAGATAGCTGCGCACGTGGCATTGTTGCCATAATGGATATGCAGGGGGTCCAATTAGGTCATGCTCTGCAGCTGAATCCCAAGCTTATCAAGCGTTCCGTTGAGAGTTGGACGGCCTATCCATGTCAGCCCAAGCTTTTGGAGTTCACTAATACGCCTCGTCACGTCAACATTTTTCTAAATACATTTCGGTGCCTGTCTTTTGCTTATATAAGAACATGTTTATTTATATATTAATAATATATTTATTTTAGCGTATTTATGACGCCAAAGATACGATCCCGTGTCGCAGTGCACCGCGAGGGCACCATGGTAAAGTGCAAGCAGTTGCCAACAGACTTGGGTGGTCAGGGACCCAGTTACAAAGAGCTGGCCATTAAATGGAAGCAATTGGTCGAACAGCACGCTGACTTCTATTTGGAGCAAGGCAAATACAAAAGCATAGTCAAGCGATAAGCGTCTGATTAACCAAAAATGATTAGAACTGCAAGCAGACATACTTATAAATAATATACGCATATTTTCAACGTGCGGATTATCATCGGTAATCGGTTAATGTGTACAAATGGCGTTGCTTAGTATTTAAGGTTTCGTTCGTGCTAAAAAAAATGCTCATTTTGTAATGATAAGTATTTATAATGCACACTTCAATGTTTGTATCATTTTAGCTATAGATAAGTGTACTCTTTGTTGGGAAACTTTGCCTTGCCGTTATCGTCCACATTTGTCCAACGACCATAGACTCATTTTATTACCAGAGCTCTTTACTAAAAAAGAAAAGCATATGAATTCGACTTTGTGAAATAGGATAAACGGGTTATTAAAAGTATATCTGATACGTGGATTATTTCATTATATTCTCGATTTCTTTATTAGTATAAAATAGTATATCAAAAATGTTTATCAAGTCTATAATTATTATCATTTAATGGGGCCATCGAGTGCCGTCTCATGTTAAGGGTTTGCATTGCAAAAGACTTCTCATCCGTTTATCGATATTAATAATAAATACGTACATACATACAAAAGAACATAAACAAGTTAATTTCGCACAGTTTGTGAACAGAATGTTGTTTATAAGCGGGATTTGTTAGTGTATCAATGCGTGCTGTCTGTTGTTTTTTCTTTTTAATATACATACATATATAAATATAAATATGTTTTATATCTTAAAAGTACGTGTCACATATAAAAATATATAGTAGATGTTGGTCATCAATTCATATCATCACCAAACAGCGCACTACCGAACAGTTTTAGTGGGACCACATGAAGCACTGAACAAAACTTAAAAGCTATAAACGAGAAAAGGAAAGGCGGTAACTAACTAAAGCGTATTATAAATAGCGACAAAGTGCAATTGAAAGTAAAGCGCAGTCGCGCCCGCCCATCACAAGTCCAATTGCAAGCTGTCGCTATTGCCACCACTGTCCACCAATTGCAGTGATTCCTATATCTGCCGTTCATCCTTTGCCGTCAACTTATCGATGAGCTCTTGCAGTGGCGCCAACTCGCGTCGTTCAATCAGATTGAACTCTTGCACAAAGAATATAAAATGCTTAAAGGACGTATTCAAATGAGCCTCTTCGCCCAGCGTCACAACCTCGGAGAAATGCTGATGATAGATGTGCGCATAAACGCGAAACAGACGCTTCAGTATAGTTTTTGCGGAGGCAAGAAAATTCTTTGGGAATGGTACACCAATTTTGGATGGGAACAATGTTTCATCGTCCAGCTGATCCTGTACCCAGGTCATTAGATAATCAATATACTTGGGCGCGCTGCATTTAATGGGCTTCTTAACTGTTAAACCATCCGCCCAATGGTATTCGTATTTCGGACCAGCCGACATAATGCCACAGCTCTCCTCCGTACAAAACTCTGTTATTGTGCCATAGAGCATATTAATCTGATTAAAGAAATCCACGGCTATGGGGAAAGAAGTAAACAAATTAGTTATAAAAACGTAGGATATTTTTATAATACTCACTGTTGACGGCCACCCATTCGTTGAGATCCTCGCCATCGGGCAGAGCGACTGCATTTCGCAAGTTCCCAGAGCCAAGTGTGGCGGCTGCGTGCTTCATGAGATCATATTGATGTGTGCCCTCCGGTATGTTCTTTTTCGGTTTGAAGGTTTTGCTTGAACGTGAACCGCTAAAGTCGACAAAGAAATTACGTTTTGTATTGGTATGCCACGGCAAACAACCCCAGGCAACTACAAGTGGTGGAGCCATTGCCTCACACCCACAACATTGGCAGAACAAAGCACGAAAAAGGGTAGAGCTCTTTGTTCGCCACTGGCTGGGTCTGTTTCAGTTGCAAGTGCAACAGTGTTTTCAGTTCACACGAACATACTTTCGTGTATGTAAAATGAACATTATACGCACATATGTTCGTATGTATTCCAGTTACTACACATACATATATATACTTACAACAAAAATTCCATTGCCATGCAGTTATTGTTGCCGTTCACTTGCCACGAAGGTAAACTTGTCGACAACCTCTTTAGCAATATGCTTATTTCTTGTAAGTTGAACGTCTTGGACGAGTTGGAATTCAGCTTATTGTTGAAAAACAGTTTTTAATTATAAATCTTTACAATCAAAAAAATTGTTGGCAGGGCAAAGTGTAGGGCTGGCAACAAATACCGACAACATCGATATTTTGAACTCGATAACCGATATGCCAAAACATGTTATGCACTTACGATAATTTTTGGCAGCGGATTATGCGTTGCCACATGTTAGCGAATGTGTATGCGTCTAATGTGTATACACTGGAAATGTTAAAGTGTGTAGACACTGATCGTTCTGTTTAGCACGTGGAAAAACAACTCAACTTGGCTTCTCGTGGAGAATAGATAATTTTTATTAATTTTACGGCATATTTACGCCTTAAATATGGTAATTATATTTCAAACATTGTTGCGCACTTTTCCTTTATAAAAATATGTAGAATATGTCGCTTACACACAATCATAACTAACCTAAGTATAAATTATGTGCGGAAGCGCCAGACAACGTGGAAAGAAATGCAGATGTTTAAACTAAAAAGTCAAATATTGTATTAATCTATATTTCTTCACACTTGCAGTCGAAACTGTACGTGCTGTATGAGCATGCGGCAGGCTTTTCGCTATTCTCCGTTAAGGAGTTTGAGGAGGTGTCCATGTTCCTGCCGCAGGTTGAGTCCTCCGTGACGGACATTGCTAAGTTCAATTCGATTGTGAAGTTGGCGGGATTTGCGCCGTTTAAGACGGCTATTGCTGCACTCGAAAATATTAATGCCATATCTGAGGGCATTGTGCCGCAGGATTTGCTGCATTTCCTCGACGATTTCTTTGCCAAGTTAAAGAAGAAGAAGTGCACCCTAGGCATTGCGGACCCTAAGTTAGGCGCTGCTATCACCGAATCTGTCGGGGTACAATGCAGCCACTTTGGCGTCGTGCCCGAGATACTGCGTGGTGTGCGCTTCCACTTTGCGAAGCTGGTGAAAGGTAAGTCAACTTGCGAGTCCATGCAATATCAAATACCTAATTATGTCCTCTTGCGTTGCCAGGCTTTACTGACAAGTCAGCTGGAGTGGCACAACTGGGTCTGGGACACAGCTACTCCCGCGCCAAGGTCAAGTTCAATGTGCATCGATCGGACAACATGATCATTCAGTCGATAGCGCTGCTGGATCAGCTGGACAAGGATGTAAACACGTTCTCTATGCGCATACGCGAATGGTACTCCTATCACTTCCCAGAACTGGTGAAAATTGTACCAGACAACTACATGTTTGCCAAGGCGGCCAAATTTATTAAGGACCGCAAGGATCTAACCCAAGATAAGCTTGAGGAGCTCGAGCAGATTGTCATGGACTCTGCCAAGGCGCAGGCTATTAT